TATTTTCACACCAAGGCTGTAATTTTCAGACAACAAATAATATACTATGGCTGACAAAATCAGCCTTTCTGCACAGGGGGGGCCTGACAAATCAGCCTAAGTTGCGGGGCTGCCCTTGAGATCCTTGGGGAAGCGATACTAGCCATCTATCTGCTTGGGGGTTATGGGTGCACTTACCCACTACTTAACAAGCCCTTTTAGCTTTGTGGTTAGTGACTGAGTTCTGACACATCAAGCCAACAACTTGTGGCTTGAACACTGTAAGAGGATGAGGCTTGTCGAATCCTTGATCATAACCATTGGCTATTTATTGGTGTATTATTTTGTGTAATTTGTCTTTCTTGGAAATCCTTACACATTGGTATGTATATATCATATGTGCTACGGAGTATTTGGACCTTTTCTTGCGTGGCACGTTTTCTATTGCGTGGAGTGTTCCGTCACCGTCACCGTATCTCTAAAATCCCTATCGTGCTTCTAGGTGGTGTTCCTATGGACAATTCTACTCATTTCTAGAACTCTCTTAGAAGGTCCTAGTTATGCTTCCCTAGAGCTCTCGTAGGAATTTAGGATTGTGTCTTTGCTTGTATTCATTCAATTCTCTTAACAGCAGCTCCTCTGTACTTTATTTCATACGCTCGTGCGCCTGTATGAGTGCAGGTAGGAGGTATCCCATGTTCAAGTATTGGGAGATGTAACGCTCCAACTCAGGTTGCAGAGTAGTGTAGCGAATGGCGATAAGTCCGTGCCTGAGTTGCAGATAGTAGAATTTAGCTACACTATTGAATGTTGAAGCGATGGTAACTGCTTCTTGCGGCAAGAAACCACCAAGCAGTTGCATATTCATTTGCACGTGTACAAGAAAGGCTGATTTTGTCAGCCATAGTATATGCTGAAGAGCAGCATGTCATCCACGTACACCAGCAGAAGCACAAGTGATTCCCCCTCTCCCATCAGGAACAGGCTCTCGTCGCATGCACTCGCACGGAATCCAATCCCTTCCAGTGCACTGGCCAGCCTGTTGTACCAGCATCTCGGGGCCTGCTTCAAGCCATAGATGGCCTTGTTAAGTTTGCAGACACGACCGGTTCCATCCTCATAGCCAGGTGGTTGAACCATGTACACCTCCTCTTCCACAATGCCGTACAGAAAAGCGGTTACGATGCGGTCATGAAAGGGAAGGACCCTGGAGGCCCATGGTCAAGAACATGACAAGAGTCAAGTCTTGACTCCCATCCTCAGGTTCAGCCAGCCTGGCAAGACAAAATTCACACTGTACCAGGTTGGCCTCCAAACCCAAATGCTGCAGCTGCAGGGTGGGGACAAAAGTCCCACACATGCTGGTCCCTCCTCGTTATAGGGCTCTCCAACTTTGGTGTAGCAGCTGACAAGGACTTCCAATGAGTTGTAACAAATCCATCAAACATTTCTTCGTAACTTCTTCATATGTGCTCCGATTCCAACAATTCTTGGCTCGTTGGAATGCGCTCGATGTCATGCACAATCCAAGCACATCTGCACAAGCACAAGATGAACATGCAAACCCAACAAACCATACAAACAATGTAGCACACAAACACATGCAACGAAATGATGCGAACAGACGACAGGATGACGTGCAAACGTATATGCACCAACACACTCCCCTCAGACTGTCGGCTTGTTTCGCCGTCTCTAGTTCAAGGACATTCCCGCATCCTCGCACAGCGCCAGTGTGGCTCTTCAGCTAGCCGCTTGGTAAGGAAGTCGGCTGGCTGTTGCTGAGTTTTCACGTAGATCGGATCCAGTGTCCCAAGCTTCACCTCCTTCCGCAGCCAATGCCACTTGATCCTCATGTGCTTGTTCAACCCATGAAGAACTGCATTGCGTGCCATGGCAATGGCTCCCTTGCTGTCACTGAACAGAGGTGTCGCACAAGTCTGTTCATGGCCATACCGGGCCAGTAATAATTACACTGCAAGGTCTTGAGGAGGGTACGAAGTTAATCATAACCGGGAACCCAATAGCGGGACGTGTCATGCTTAGCAAAATAAGCAACTATGGCTATGGTGTGCTGTTGGTGAGTGGCAGAATGGAAGAACGGGTCGATTTTATAGCCATTGGTAAATAGGCCAGTAAGGAGTGGGTTGGTCTGGGTGACTAGTATGGCAGCTGTATGGGCAGTGGGGCACCACAGCTGCCATACTAGTCACCAGACCTGACAAGCGCTGGTGTCACCATCCGCACTGAAAACAAATGCCTGCAGTGCATGCGAGCCCAACCGAACCTCAACCCCCGACAGACTCGCTGGCTTGATTTCCTCGGGTCCAACTTCCACTATACTTTCACCTACAAACAGGGCGCCAACACATTGTTGTCAGGTAGCACCGCCAGATTTTTAAAGCATGGACGATCGCCAACAATTCCTTGTCATATAATGTATAATTCTTCTCAGCTCCTTGCCAGTTCCGTGATTCATAGGTGACCAGCGGAAGACCGTCGCGAAAATCTTGGAGTAAATCTGTGCTAGTGGCGATGTCACTAGCGTCGGTGATGACTTCGTATGGACGGTCAAGATCAGCGATGCGAAGGACAGGTGGTGACGTGCGGGCGATTTCCAGTTGGGCGAATGCAGCTTGCTGCTTTTCTCCCCACCAAGAATACTCGTAAGCCTGTAGTAGGTCGGTTAGCAGGGCGGATAACCCTGCCATATTCGTAATAAAGCAGCAAATGCGATTCAGGAATCCAAAAATAATATGCAGCTCCTTCACATTTCGTGGCGGCTTCCACTCCTGGATGGTGGTGATTTTCTTTGGGTCGATCTTCACACCTTCGGTAAACTCCTTAAGAAACCCGCAATTCGATCCCTTAGTGATGAGGTGGTTCTTGTGCAGCAGCGTGAAGACTGCATCAAGATCCATTAAGTGCTGTTCATTGCTCTTGCTGTGGATCAGAATATCATGGAGGTAGACGATTACACACCGGTCCAAGAGTTTCCTAAAAATGCCACGTCATCTGTCTCACAAGATCGAATGTGTCGAGGAAAAGTTGCACTATCCATTGATACAGGGCGCTTTTATTATTCCGAGAAGGTAACCAGGTTTATCCTATCCAAAGGGAATAGACCCTTCTATAAATAGAATCACCCTGCGTATAGCCACGCTAGGCTATTGGCCTTAAGGGATCACGGCAAGATTACGCTAGATATAGCGCGCCAGTACATCCTGAGCTTGGTCGGTGATATAATTATAATAATTGGATAACCCAAAGGATAATGAGAATGGAGGAATAGGAAACTAAATGGGATGTGATAAAGATCAAATGAATCAGGATAATTAGAAGAATGAGATAGAGGAAAAATATGGAAATGAGAAAGAAGTGTAACAGGGTCGTACTCTCACAATATGGAAGGTCGAGGGCGCAGTCGTGAGGCCAAAAGGCATCACCAGGTACTCGTAACTACTGTATCGGGTACGAAACGCACTCTTGTAACAATCTTCTGCTGCGACGCGAAGTTGGTGGTAACCTTCTTGTGAATCAATCTTCGAGATAACTTCGTTGCCCAAAGTTGGCCGAGTAGTTCGCCGGCTCATGGGGTCGGGTAACGTGATTTTATGGTGATTCGGTTCAGTGCGTGACAGTCAATGCCCATTCGGAATTCCCCGTCATTCTTTGGCGTGAACAGTATCGGGGCGGCGTATGGCGATGAACTAGGCCGGATGAATCCTTTCGCGAGCAAGTAATCTAGCTGCTGCTGCAATTCCTCCAGTTCTGGTTGGCTGAGCCGAAACTGGTGCTGTACAGTCAATTCCAGCTTGATTATGTGGTCCTCTGGTCGGCTCGGCGGGAGTCCAGCTGGCAGGTCGTTTGGGAAAATCTCGGGATACTGCTGATAGCTTCTCAATGTCTTCATTCTCGACAGTCGATGCCATGTCACGAAGTCCGACGACGTAGGTGTCAGCTCCTGCTTGCACCACGCTTGAAGGTGATGGCGTGGACTTGTGTGCTTTGCATGCAAGGACCTGTTCACCTGGGCAACTCTCCAGGATGCTGCGGAAGCTTGAATGAATGACCAATCAAGAATTGTATAAATACAAGCAAAGACATAATCATATTTATTCCTACGAGAACTCTAGAGATGAGTGGAAACCATCTAGAAGCACGGTATAAATTTTGGAGATATGGTAACGGTGATGGAACACTCCATGCAATAGAAAACGTGTCACGCAAGGAAAGTCCAAAATAATCCGTAACACATATGATATATGTAAAATATATCAATCCGTAGGGGAAGAGTGTAGGGATTTCCATAAAATGAAAAACATACAATAGATAGCAAATAGCAAATGGTTGTGATCAAGGATTCGGCAAGCCTCATCATCTCACACTCCCCCCCCTTTAAAACTAGGTAAATGGTGAAAGCACCCAGTTTTTCAGTAAGCACAGAGGGTTGAGAGAACTGATATTCTCCACTTACTCCCGTATTGCCAACGGCGTTGATCTCTGGTAAACACCAGTTGGGCGTTGATCTCTGGTAAATACTTTTCTAAGGGTACACCCAGCTTTTTACCCTTGTCCAACTGTATGAGACTGTGACTTGTGCCTCCATCAATGAAAATCTTCAAAAACACCCCACTTTACCCTTCACCAATATACTATAGGGTGATCTGCAATTTTGTTCCCCTTATTCGTCCAGGCCCAGTCAATTGCAGAAATCGGGATCACGACCCGGTGGGGACTGTGTGGTTCGGCCGAAGAAGCTTGGCCGTCATTAAGGGGCCCTGTACTTATTGACATAACCGATTTCCCAATCGCTCCTTAGGCTTCTTCCCCATAGAAGTCTGCAGGCTTAGGGATTCTCGGTAGTTGCGTCGGATATAACCTGATTGACCATAGTGGAAGCATAGCCCCATATTTTGCGGAGCAATTGCATAAATATCCATTGCATCTACCCCTCTTATTGTGGCGCCCTGGTCCTATTCTCGAGGGCGACCCTGTCGTAGAAGTTCGTCCATGGCTTCATGAGCGAATCAGCAGCTTTGGCGAATTGGATGTAGCCCTGTAACCGCTTCGCAGGTTGTTGCAGTTTAATCTGGTACTGAATCTCTGGCTTCAATCTGCACATGTACCTGTCGACGTTCTCCAACTCGTGCATGCAGCCACATGTGTCCACCAGGGCCAGGAACAACGCGGTGTATTTGGACACTCCCCAGTGGCTTCGACATGCCTAGAGTTTTGCGGGTCTTGTCTGAGTCATGTGCATGCTCAAATAGCTTGCAAAGCTCTGCACACCATGTTGCCCATGTGCGAACGTGGGTCGCGTTGGATAGCAAACGTGCCTCGTCTTCTTCGCCGAACTCTTCGGACCACTCGTGCTGTCCTTCTGTGCGAGTTGCCGCTGAGTCAACAATTACCTTCCACCAATGTAGGGTGGCCCTTTGCAAGAGTGTCAACGCGTGGCTGATCCTCTTCTTATCGTCCCTGATGCTTGCCGCGTTGAAATATATTTTCATGGCAAGTATCCGCTGCCGCATTGACTCGCCTTTGTTACTTGGATCGAAAGGAGCGAGTTGTTGACATCTTACACCAACTACAGACCTCAAGCCCCTTCGATGGGAACTTCTTCCCATGGTACTTTGAGTTCAAACTTCTGGTGATGTCTTCATGGCTCCATCGAGTACCCTGAAGCAGGAATGGCAGAGACAAAGGGCACTATTTCCGGCTCTCGCTAATGGTGCATACACTGCTGGTGCAAAACCTCTCACCTTCGAAGAAATACGGTGGCCCTTCAATGCTTCACTCGTCCCTGCGTTCTATGCTTTCGAAAGTCTCTGCAAGGTACACCAAGCTCAAGACGCAGTGAGGCAGAGTAGATTACTCCAATAAATGAACACACTTCAGATGCTTCCAGGAGAGAAGGCTGGAAGCTACACTAACCGCTGCCGCAACTTGCACGACCAATTCCTTAGAAGCGGCAGGAGCTTCACCAATGAGCTCTTCGTTACCGTACTCCTTGCCGGACTTGGCTCCAAATGGCGCATGCGCAAGGCCTTCCTGTGCACGCAAGGGAACAAATAGGAAAGTGCTCTCCTTGCAACACTAGTTGCCGAGTAGCAAGATTGGACCTGCCCAATACACGTGACAAGGCAATGGCAGAGAAGTTCAGCATCCACATCGGACAACAAATGAAGGAACCGGACAAGGGCAAAATCGCTAATCATGACCTTTATGCAATTTCAGCTAGAAATTGGGACACTTCATTGATGAGTGACAAAGCTAAAGAGCTGGCAGTGTGCGGACTTTGAACCACAGCGTCTAAACATCGCAGTCCCAGTGCCACAGTCAAATATATTGCGTCCAATCATCACCGTGACTTAATTAAGACCAGTACATAATACCTGACCCATTGTTAACTATATGGTCAGCGCTCATTGGACTTTCGGCATTCAATACTGGGCAAGACGCAATACCTAAGCAGCAAAGAGGATTGCTCACTTGAGCTACCACCATATCTTGCTGAGCGCCATCGCCCAAGACCGAAAACGCCACTGCAGCCCCTCGAGGTCAATGACGATGAAGCAGACCAAGCCATGCCATGCCACCTAAATGTTTAGCCGTACGCCCATATTGCAAAGAAGAATCATCCCCACGATGTCAATACGTGGTTCTTAAATAGCTGTTGTGACCACCATGTGGCTTCTTCTTTGCATTATCTTCTCAACTGGAAGATCCTTCTAGAAACTGGCAGGTACACCATCATATTCGCAAACAACAAAGAGTTAACCACAACAGGCATGGGCAACAACCTGCTTGAGCCCGTCGATAGGAAAGTCTCCTTATGTATGAACAAGGTACTCGTCATCGATGACCTCGGCTTTAATCTCCTCTCCCAAGTGCAGCTGATGGAAGCCGGAATCCATTTCATTAGCGATGCCGACCGGGTGATCACTGAGCTGTACTTGGGTGCGAGAAAACAAGACGGGAGTGATTAAATTGGCCTTGCTGAAACCAGAAATGGAATCTCACTTCTTCGGTTCACACCTGAGACACCTTAAGGTGACAGCCAAATGGTCATCTCTCTAGCCCATTGGCATCATCGAGATGAGACGGCTCTCAAGACCTTCGATCATTGACACCTCAGGGAAGTGAGGTCACCACTCTTCAACCATCCCGCACGTCATCATCCACACCCAAACCTGAGGACTCTTAGTCGTTTCGCAAACCTGCACACGAATCAACAAGATGTTGTGTGATACCATCATATGCTATCACATTCTGTCTGCCTCCCATCCCGTGTTTTCAACTTGCATGTGTGGTTTGAACGTGTGCAAGAATTTTTGCGTGGTGTGTTCTGAAGTTTGGGAATGTGTTTTGTGTTTTTTTTTGTTTGAGCAGATATTTGTGATGATAGATTTTGAGAAGAACAACAACAAGAATCGCTTCAATCGGAGCAAGAACGCTAAAGCTATGAAGATTCAAAGTTTATAAGCTTGCGTTCCATTTGCAGCAGTTACTAAGTGTAGTTGTGGGGACTCAATATGGAGTTGGGACCTTTGGGGGTTGGGGAAAATCGTCACTCTACTAGAGGAGCTGCAAAATTGGTTGGGAACAACCAAGCTAGGTTGGCAAGGGTGGCCAACTTGGTTGGATTGATTAGAAAGGGACAAAGGTCAAAGTTAGGGTTCCTATAGGGAGGGAAACTTTGTGCTTATGGGGTTTCCTTGGTTGGGGACTCTCTTGGGACCTTCCCTCTCATCCCTCTCTTCCCTTCCAAACTTTCTCTTGCTCCTCTAATTCCTTGTGAGATTTTTTAACCTTGATTGAAGTTTGAGATTGAGTTAAGTTCTTCTCCTACAGCATACCCCCCTGTGCGTCGAAATTCATAGCGTCGCGAATACTTCATCAATCTATGTGATTCGAATTGGGAACGGTAGCAGAGATTAGAAGCTACAACAATACGAGTTTGGCGACATTCCAACGGCTAGTTTGTTGTCAACGACGTTTCTTGTGGAGACGATTTTTTTGTCCAGAATTTCGGATCTATATTTTGAGTAATTCTAGCTCCTGAGTTCACCTAGACTCCGTCCTTTATCCCAACAAGTTGTATTAGAGAGATATTGAGGACATTGAGAGGAGCCTACAGAAGTATGAAAACTCACCAACGCACTGGCAACGTTCCAAACCGAAATGAACCACATTCTACGCCCACTTTTGGATGAGTGTGTGTTGGTGTATCTTGACGACATTCTCATCTACACGCGTGATATGAAGCAGCACGTCGAACAACTGCGACGCGTCTTCGACATTCTTCGATGGGAATGCTTCTACATAAAATTATCCAAGAGCGAATTCACCCTCAAGAAGGTCCAATTTCTAGGACACATGGTGAGCGCTCAAGGAGTCCACGGCGACCCCAAGAAGATCGAAGTCGTACGCACGTGGAAGACACCCGAGAACGTGAAGGAGTTGCAGCAGTTCCTAGGCTTCGCTAACAATTACAACAGATTCGTGCCACAGTACGCACAAATTGCCGCACCACTCACGAATCTGATGAAGAACATGCCCTATCAATGGGAATCAAAACATCAGGAAGCAATGGAGCAGCTAAAACAGGCACATACATCCGCACCTGTACTCATTTTGCCAGACCCTGAACGCGACTACAACATCGAAGCTGACGCCAATGACCAGGCAGTGGGAGCAGTCTTGATGCAAGACCAGGGGAATGGACTACAACCAATCGCCTAACCCAGCAAGAAACTGCACTGGGCAGAACTAAATATTGGTGATGTCATCATATGCTATCACATTCTGTCTACCTCCCATCCCTTGTTTCAATTTGCATGTATGGTTTGACTGTGTGTAAAAGAATTTGTATGTGGTGTGTTCTGGAGTTTGGGAATGTGTTCTGTGTTAATTTTGTTTGAGCAGGTATTCGTGATGATAGGTCTTGAGAAGATCTTTCCGACGCAACAAGAATCGCTTCAATCAGAGCAAGAACGCGAAAGCTATGAAGATTCAAAGTTCATGAGCTTGCGTTACAATTGCGGCAGTTACAAAGTGAAGTTGTGGGGTGACTCTATATGGAGTTGGGACCATTAGGGGTTGGGGAAAATCGTCACTCTACTGTAGCAGCTGCAAAATTGGTTGGGAACAACCAAGCTAGGTTGGCAAGTGTGGCCAACTTGGATGGATTGGTTCGGAAGGGACAAGGGTCAAATTTGGGGTTCCTATAGGGAGGGAATCTTTGTGCTTATGGGGTTTCCTTGGTTGGGGACTCTCTTGGGACCTTCCCTCTCATCCCTCTCTTTCCTTCCAACCTCTTTCTTGCTCCTCTAATTCCTTGTGAGATTTTTTAACCTTGATTGAAGTTTGAGATTGAGTTAAGTTCTTCTCCTACGGCATATCCCCCTGTGCGTCGAAAGACATAGCGTCGTGAGTACTCCATCAATCAACGTGATTCAACTTGGTAACGGTAGCTGAGATTAAGGGCTAAAACATTTCCGAGTTTCGCGGCATTTCAACAGCTAGCTTTTCGTCGACAACGTTGCTTGTGGAGACGATTTTTCTGTCCAGAATTTTGGATTCATATTTTGAGTAATTCTAGCTCCTAAGTTCACCTAGACTCCGTCCTTAATTCAAACACTAAATTACCTGATACACAACAAAGAGGCCCTTGCTAATGCCATCGCTTTCAAAACGTGGAGATGTTCTCTCGAAGGACGAAAAATGAGTGTCTACACTGACCACTGCAGCCTGAAATATTTGAAGACACAGCCAAACCTTTCCAGACGACGGGTTCGGTGGATTTACTTCCTCTAGACGCACTTCTACTATGAAATCATGTACAAGCCTGGCCACAAAAACAAAGCAGATGCTCTCAGCTGGCCTGCACATGTTGCCGCTATCCAGGTCGAAGGGATGAACCCGCTACTTAAGGGACTCTTCACACACGGGTACATCATCAACCTCAAGTTTTCCTTGGCAGAGAAACGCCACCTGCTACAGTGGGACAGTGACATTGCGTACCGGAAAGGCTGAACGAAAATCTGGGTACCCAACTACCCGCCTTTGCGCCAGTTACTACTCGATACCATGATGTTCTGTACGTCGGACACTTCGGTAGTAACAAGACGCTCTCCGGTATTGCAAAACACTACTACTGGCCCACATGGCAGACGACAAACAAAATTCGTCACCTCGTGCGACACATGTCAGTGATGAAGAGCAGTAAGCAAAAGAAAGCAGGCCTGCTACAGCCCCTTCCTGTCTCTGAACAGCCATGGCAAGTGGCTAGCCTAGACTTTATAATCGGGGGTCCACCTGCCATAAACGGTCATGATGCAATCCGTGTCGTCGTCGACAAATTCTAAAAAATGGGACACTTCATCCCGACACACACGACAATACGCACCGAGGAGACAGCACAACTGTTCGTTCGCTACATCATCTCACAGCATGGCATCCCAACCACACTCATCTCCGACCAAGACCCTAAGTTCACCAGCACGTTCTTGAAAGAATTGATGTCTCTGCTCAGGACCAAACTGCCATGTCATCTGCCTACTATCCAGAGAAAGACAGAAAAACCGAATGCCTTAACCTAATTGTAGAGCAAATCCTCCACGCAGCATGCATGGACGACATCTCCAAATGGTTCTTGCATTTACCCATCCTGGATTTTGCCTACAATAACGCCACTGACGCTGCTGCCGGGCAAAAACCATTCTTCCTCTGTTACTGACGCAACTACCTCACTCCACAGAGACCAATAACACCAGCCACAGTCCAACATGCACACAACTTCATAACCACCATGCATTAACTTTGGGATCGGACCCACAAACGCCTCATCGATATTCAGCATAAAAAAAAATGCCAGGCCGATCGCCACCGCAATGACCACACCATCACCATGGGAGACCGTGTTCTGCTCGACACCCGCAATCTCGAAATCAGCCATCTCCCATCCAAACGGCGACCTCGCTTCTACGAGCCTTTCCTCGTTGAAGCACAAGCCACCCCTGTTACCTTCCGCTTACGCCTGCCAGCAACTTGGAAGATCCGCAACGCCTTCCACGTCCAACTTATGAAGCCCTACCGAGATCCCAACACACTCTTCATTCGCCGCCAACCGTTGCCGCCGCCACCCGTCCTCATCCATAATGAACCCGAGTACAAGGTCAAGTCCGTGCTTGCACACTGCCGTCGGCAGAATGGCACCTTGGAGCTTCTCATCCGCTAGAACGGTTATGATCCTAGTGAGGATAGCTGGGTCTCTAAATCCGAAATGGGTAATGTCTGTCGTCCAGTTCACGAATACCTTATCAAGTAGGGTGTTACTTCTACCACCCCGTTGTAACTACAAGGGAACACATGTGTCTTAATGCACATGCATCACTCCATTGCTGCCAGTGATTGGGTTGCTCGAGGGTATGAAGATTACTTGCTTCTCCCCTCGTTGTATCCACGGGTAGCAACTGCCTGGTATGCTCGTCCGTGCTCCCCGATATACGGTCGGTAGAGTGCGCAATTGTCTTGTTGCAATCTGTATCTCCCGCATTTGTCAACATCATCGTGTTGCTGGGCATTCTCCTGTGTCGTCGAAGGTACGTTGAGGCTTGTAACGCTTTGGCTTCTGGTAGAATTGCCTCTAATACATGTACCGTAGGGTCACTGGTGTGCGACTGATTGCCGAATTCGAGGTCATGACTCCTTGGTTTGTCAACCCTTATGCCTTTGTGTGATGGCATACACCTCGAATTGCAGTCACATTATGGGGTGTCGTCTCTTGTGGTTGATGTCGAACTGCTCCAACCAATCACTGCGGACGGCTACGATTTGTAGTGAAGATGAATCAATCAGCTCCTGTTATGAAGTAGTGTCTTGCTGTCCCTGACGAGCCGTATATCTGTGTCGTAGTTGCATCAACTTTGGTTGGCGAGTGTTTTGCAAGAGAAAACGGCTACTTCTCTGCAATCCTTTATGCGCCCAATTGTCGAAGTATTTTATATTGTCGATGTAGAACGAAAGTTTTGTGCGAGCCGATGTAGTCGTTGGAGATGTTCAGCTGCATTGTTGGTGTATCACCAAAATCTGCTTCTTTGGTGAAGTACAAAATTCTGCTTCGTTGGTGTCAATCTGGTTCAAACGAAGATTCTGACTTCATAGACGAAATGTTGTCGAATCCGCAACTGATCAAGTAGTACGCAATCGTTGTATCGCCAGGACTGACTGAAGACTCCCGGACATTTCTCTCCCATCGAGAAGTCTCGCGGTCCATTTGTGCCGTCGATTCTTCGACGATCTGACGATCAGCTTGCTGCAACAATATTTCGGCCGGTCGATGTTACCAAGTAGGTGTCTGTTTTTGAAGATTATGACTGCAGAGAAGCTTTGTCACCGAAATTCTTGACAGAATGAGGAGATCCGAATTATTTATGGCTGGATATTTAGGAAAATCTAGTCATCGAAGTTGATGTCGGCGTATAGCTGCTTCTCTGTTTCAAATTCTTATACTGAAGAAACTCGCGCTCGATCTGGTCCGCTGGTTCAATGTTGATCCGATGGTCCAAACTCCAAATGATTTGTAATCGTTCCTGAGGCTTGTTCAGCTCTGTCGAATGTCGGAATCAACTCGTTTTCTGCGGCAATTCGTAGTCGTCAATGCCCGTTGTCGAATGATCGGACGTGGGCAAACAATCTGCTGCTATCGAGGTGTCGTTTCCATACGCACTGAAACTCGAACTCCATCAGCTCAGGTTTGTTTCGTCTCGAACAATCTGAAGCATCGAAATCGAATCGGGCGGCTGTCGTAGATCGTCGCTAGCGCAACTCCAAGATTCGTGGTGAAGTTGGAAATTCTTGGAAAACGTCGCAGGGTAAGTTCCACCAGCTACCGTCAATCGCTTCGAAGGGCAGAAAATACTCCAGATTCTAATGCAGGTACTTTGGGAACGTCCTCTCATTGGCGAGGGTCGCTGACGTATGCCCCAAAAAAATCAGCTTCGTTGATGCTGAAAATCGAACAGTTGGCGATGCTGCTCGCCATCAATGGGGACCCTAGGTGGAACTGCTCGAGTTTAGTTGGAACTTAGTAAGAAAAAATGATTCACTTACGCGATCGAAAAGTTCGACTCCATCATCGGCGTGCTCCAACAGTCTTAGAGAAGACCTTCTAAGACAGTTCTAGAAATGAGTGAAATCGTCTGTTGGAACACCACCTAGAAGCATGGTAGGCATTCTATAGGTACGGTGACAGCGACGTTACACTCCACAAGAAAGAAAACGTGTCACGCAAGCGAAGCATGTCCACTGGAGGCTTCTTTCCAAGCCACCTCTCCAGCGGCACCCACATATCATCAGCCACCTTTGTGAGTACGCGGTTCCTTGCCACTGTAGCATGCCTCACCGCATGAGGCCACATGGAGTTCCCCAGCCCTGATTCGATCAGCAGCGCTCGCGCAGTTTCCAGGATGGTCCTATTAGCCCTCTCAGCAACGCCATTTGACTGAGGGGTATAGGACGTCGTTAGCTGATGCTCAATGCCTTGTTTCTTGAGCCACGCAGTCAGATCTCCTCCTAGAAACTCTCCACCTCGGTCGGTTCTGATGCTCTTGCATGGGTGCCCAGATTGTCGCTCGACGAACGGCAGCCAATCATCTCGTATTGTTGAGGCAGCATGATCCTTCTGCTTCAACGGGTATGCCCACATCAGCCGACTCCAGTCATCAACTATTGTCAGGAAGTACCTTTCCCCCTTACTTCCTCGGAC